TGAAGTCACTAGTTTGTTGACTAGGGAATTCTGGGAGTTGAAGTCCACACTTCCACACAAGGAGAAATACTGGGTTAGCCAATCAGGAACTCTCCCCAATTTAGGTATTATTGAGGTCAGGTCATCCATAAGGAGAGGCTAAAACAGTTAAGATGGTGGCTTCAAATGGAAAGCACCATTTTTGCCCCACACCACAATGTCCTCGAATAAGGTCCAGCTAAGTTAGTTAGCTGGAGCTGCCACTTGCTGCATCGTTGACCCTATCCCTTTACTGTCTAATCGTACTTAATTAGAATGAAATCAAATTTCATTTTTCAATCTGCTCCTGCCCCTTTCTATATGGCACAGCCCTGCCCTAGCCTTGAACCAATTTTCTTTGGGACAAAAATATGGCCCATTAAGCACCTAGTTGACACTGGTCCCAAGGACTTACCTTCGCCAAGCGTCTTTCCCAGGGCTACTCTATGGCGGTCAATCATTACATCTTGAAGCTTTTCCTTCAGTTCTTCACTGATGCCCAGGCTGTTCACTGCAAGAAGAAAAGGAGATTCATTTTGCAAAGAAGACCTGACCCAAATCATCTATCCAGAAGGGTCTAAATTGCAAGGGTATCCAACTTGGGGACAAGTTTGTGGGCTTCCAACTCCCAGAATTCCTAGGTTGATACATTTTTATTTCTTATGCTGACTGAGGAATTCTGGGAGTTGGAGTCCACCAAGTCTTAAAGTGGCCAAGGTTGGACACCCTTGGTCTAAAGTCTAAACTTGGTGTCACCTGGGAAAGTGGGAACGATTTCTAAACGCCACAGAAGAAGCATTGGGGTTGCTGGTGGCTTGTTCTTCTGCAGATGGAGGACCAGGCCATCATGAGATCTAAAACAGACATCTCCCAAACAAGAGGCCAACATAGTTCAACTTTCCCAGTCTTGGAGAGCTGCTGGAAGTCAGGCTGCCAAAATTTCAGGTAGTACTGCCGAAGGCAGGTCTTCTACTGTTGCTTGCCACCATCTCCAGATCTTGGTTGAATTGTATCAGAGTTTCCTGATTGGGCTATGAGTGGAGACCTTATCTAAGTTGGGTTGATCTTCTCCTCCTGAAGGACAAGTGGGCAGAAGATGCTCCTGAGCTGATTCTGATTCCACCATGAGCACCTTCTTCTTTGAACTTTGAATTGTCTACCTATCCATTTATGGATTTTTGATGGTTATATATACAGAACGATTCTGGCCCATAAGTAAGGGTGGGCTTAAAATTTTTTAGCAAGGGGTTCCTTGCCCGGTTACTGGGTGGGCCACGGTGGGCATGGCCTAGTCGGCCTCCTGAATCATGGTGGCGGGGGGGAGGGGCGTTTTCTCCCTCCCCAGGCTCCTGAGGATTCCCTCGAGCCTCCATGAGGGTGAAAACGGCCTCCCTGGGCTCCGGAGGCTCTCCGGAAGCCAGAAACAGGCCCATTTCCGGCCTTCCTGAATTTCTGGGAGGCCCGTTTTTCACCCTCCCTGAGCTTCCACACACACCCTGCACATACCCGCATCCAAAACGTGGGGACTCCTGGGAGAGGTGGGGCAGGGTAGGTGGGACCAGCCAGGAGTGGGATTTGTGGGGTTCTCCAAACTGTGTCGAATCTTAGCTAGGGGCTCTCTTGAACCCCTGTGAACCCCCCCCCCCCCAGCAGCCCAGCCCTGCCCAGAAGACTTAAAGAGGCCACCTACATTGGGGCCTGTCTCAGTTTTGCCCAATCTGTTGCCTTGATGGGCAGCAACTGCTAGATTTGTGGGGAAATGTGAACACTTCATACGCACTGATGAGGTTACCTAGTTTGGTAACGAAACGTCTGCAAGGAAAAAAAAAAACACACACCCAAACTCAGAGAGCACCAAGGGCCCCACAATGAACGCGGCTTGCTGGGTCTCAGTGTCAACTCACGCCCTGACACACACTGGATTTGCGGGGGAGAGGAACTCACAAGTAGTTTCCGTAGTCCGGCGGCTGTACGATTTGCGGGCGCGATAGTGAACCACCAGCTCTCCCTGCTCCATGTTGGGCTCAAAGGCTTCCCTGAGCAGAAAGAAAACATAAAATGGGGTCCTGATGGGTCCCCCTCATGAGAAACGCCCCCCCCCCCCGAAACAATCAATGAAAAGACTTAAACAATGGGTGGCCTTTCTGGAGGGCCATTTCCGCCTTACCCATAGCGTGTTTCCTTTTTCCTCATACGTGCCAAGAAGATGATGATGAAGATGGTGGCGGCCACGGCAGTGGCCACGGCGATCACCACGTACCACCAGTTCCAGGAGAAGGCGGGAACGGAGAGTCCTACTGTGAGGAAGAGGAACTGTTGCTAGTGAGTAGAACTTTTCCAGTACTTTTACTTTACTTTACTTTACTTTCCTTTACCTTACTTTACCTTACTTTACCTTACTTCACTTCACTTCACTTCACTTCACTTCACTTCACTTTACCTTACCTTACTTTACCTTACTTCACTTCACTTCACTTCACTTCACTTTACTTTACTTTATCTTACTTTATCTTACTTTACCTTACTTCACTTCACTTTACTTTATTTTGCTTTACTTTATCTTACTTTACCTTACTTTACTTTTACCTTACTTTACCTTACTTTACTTTACTTCACTTTAACTTCACTTCACTTCACCTCACTTCACTTTAACTTTACTTCACTTTACTTTATTGTCACTGCACATTATACAACGAAATTAAATACTATCTTCAGTGTACTTATACAGTAGAATTCAAGTAGGTAAACAGTAAATAGATAATCCTCGATGTACAACTCTTTGTATAGGGCAGAGGTTTCCAAACTTGGCAACTTTAAGACTTGTGGACTTCAAATCCCATGCTGGCTGGAGAATTCTGGGAGTTGAAGTCCACAAAGTCTTAAAGTTTCTAAGTTTGGGGACCCCTGGTATAGTGCCTGAAATTACAGCGGCACTGCAAAACTGACTTGTGACCATTTTTCACCTTTACGAACGTTACAGCATCCCCACGGCCACGTGATCAAAATTAAGAGTGCGTGGCACCTCCACCATTACATGAGCATTGCAAAACTCCATAGGATCACTAGATGGAAGATATAGTAATCCTAACTGTGGGATCCCAACTTTCCATTTTTAGTGTTCCTTGAATTCAGAAAAAAAGCCTCTCACCTGACTGAGGAGCTGGTAGTAATTCACCTGCAAAGAGAGAAAAAAAAATTAAGAACTATCTATGTGGATGGGTGGATGGATGGATGGATGGATGGATGGGCAGGTAAATGGAGGGATGGATGGGCAGGTAGATGGATGGATGGATGGATGGGCAGGTAGATGGAGGGATGGATGGGCAGGTGGATGGATGGATGGATGGATGGATGGGCAGGTAAATGGAGGGATGGATGGGCAGGTGGATGGATGGATGGATGGATGGCAGGTAGCTGGAGGGATGGGCAGGTAGATGAATGGATGGCAGGTAGATGGAGGGATGGGCAGGTAGATTGGTGGGTGG